TCACATTCATGCTCAAGTGAGTAAATCACATAATCATTTGAAATAGCATGTCTTTTCTGCCTTACAAACCTCCTTAATGTTATCTCTTGTGGTTCACTTTTCTCTTACTCGTTTGTGACTTGCGCATTGTCAGCTGGTTTATCCTCTTGTTGTCTCTTTATGTTGTGTGACCGTGATACAACAAGAGGAACAACAACTTGAGAAAAGACATCAACTACAGAAGTTTTCGCATGTGTCTCTTTAATTTCCACCTTTCCTATTTCATCACTCCCACTAAACTGACCATTTTCAATGAACCTTACATTTTCAGACTCAACTATTCTCATACTATGGTTAGGACAGTAGAATTTACACCCCTTTGATTTCTCAGGATAGTCGATGAAATAACCACTAATGGTTCTAGCATTAAGCTTCTTTTCATGTGGATTATACACTCTTACTTTTGCTAGACAACCCCAGACATGAAGATGTCTTAAACTGGGTTTCTTTCCTGTACACAGTTCATAAAGAGTCTTTGGAACTGCCTTACTCGAAACTCTATTAAGTAGATACGCAGCAGTCTTTAATGCGTACATCCACAAAGACATAGGTACAAAACTGTAACTCAACACACTCCTAACCACTTCCATAATAGCACCATTCTGCCTTTTAGCCACACCATTTTGTTGTGGTGTACCAGACATAGTATATTGTGCACATATGCCTCGACATTCTAGAAGTTTCGCAAATAGACCTGGACATTGTCCACTTTCATCAGATTTTTCATAATATTCACCACCTCTATCTGACCTCATAACCTTTACCTTTCTATCTAGTTGTCTTTCCACTTCATCAATGAACACTAGTAAGACATCCACTGATTGAGATTTTTCATACAATACATACAGATAGCAATAACGTGAGTATTCATCAATAAAGATAATGAAATATCTTTCACCACTCCAAGATTAGATGTCAAAAGGACCACTGCTTCTTGTGGCTGGATTCTTTAATATGTGTTTGATTTGTTTTCCTTTAATACAATCCACACATACATCCCAGTCAGCAAAATCTAACTGAGGTAAAATTTCACTTTTCATTAACCTCATCATTCTTTCTTTGGATATGTGACCTAACATTTGATGCCACAAAAAAGCAGAGCATTCATTATGCACATTTAAATTACTACTAACAACATTCTCAACATGAAACAGAGATTCAACAAATTTAACATTAAGATTGAAATGATATAAACCATCAATTAATGTACCAGATCCAAAATAGTACGAGTGTTTATAAAAAGAAAAAGTATTGTTTCCAATCTTAAAATTAAAACCAAATTCATCCAACTTTGCAACAGAAACCAAATTTCTAGCATATTCAAGAACATAAAGACATTTTTCTATATCTATGCAACAACTAGTATGCAAGATCAATCTGTAAGTCCCTATTCTTTCTATCCATGCCTTCATTTTGTTCACCATGTACAAGAACTTTTCAGTTCCGCTTATGGGCTGGATCGAAAGAAATCCCTGCATTACATGTGACACATGAGTAGTTGCACTAGAATCTAACCACCAAGTGTTTTTAGGTACCACAATAAGATTTGATTCAAAGCATACTGAAACATAATATATCTTTCCTTTCGAACCAAACTTTTCTCTTCGGACAATCTTTCTTGAAGTGACTAGTCTTTTTGTAGAAGAAGCACCTCTGGTCCTTCTGGATTCGGCCTTCACAAACCTTTAATAAGGCCTTATTCTTCTTGTTCTTGTTGTCCTTTTTACCTGGTTTAGCCCTGCTACTACTAGCTCCTTCATGAAATGTGAGATGGACGGAGTGTTCTTTGAACTTCTTCAGCCTCCTTTCCTCCTGGACTAGCATGGCCTTAATTTCCTATATGTTTCATTTATTCTTAATGGTGTTGTAATTCACTTGGAACTGACCAAACTCAGGAGGGAGGGAGTTCAAAATGAACTGTTCTAGAAAGAATTTCTTTACCTCCATGCTTATTAATTTCAACTTTGTTGCTTGATTGATCATGTCAGTCACATGGTCATGAATAGGTCGTGACCAATCAAACTTCTTAATAGTTAGCACAGTCAACAGGGTACCTGAAACAAACTTGTCAGTAATGTCCGATTGTGCATACTCTTTTACCTTTGCTATAAATTCCCTAGCATTTTCAGTCTTTGGCATTGATGGCTTCACATTTTCAGCCATAGTCATCTTCAGTAGGCTCAAACTCAGCCTGTTTGACCTTTCCCAAGCTTCACGAAGAGGCTTTTCCTCTTTAGTACTGGTCTCTGTAATGGTCGCAGGCTCTTGTTCCATAATGATTACTAGGTCTAAGTGCATAACACCTAGCTGAAATCGAACTTATTCAGCCCAATCATCATAATTGAGCCTATTGAAGTTGACTACACCATTGCTCATGCCTTACGTATTCATAGGGATTGAAATATTTAACACATGCTTAAACATTTATGCTTTGAATAAACTTGATGGATTCAGACAGTCAACCGTCATCAATTATGTATCTAAGTTTGCCTTTGGGTAATATGTAAATACACAATTTATCTATAATGATGCTAAATAAATAACTTTAATTGATAATCAGTCACTCAAACCAATATGCAAGTCATCTTTGGATATACAAACATATTATGAGGTGTATTCATGTCTCCTTAATGTCATTAATCGTATGCAATGATCCACCTTTGAGTGATCTCCTAGCATTATAATTAATGAGCTAAATTGTTCACCATTTATGTTACCACATACATAGCATCAAACAATTTTGAACAATTTACAGTACACAATTGAATGCTTAAACAAACTTTTAAAGTCAAGCCACTTTGGTGACTAACAAGCTACCCTTAAAATTAAGCACTAAATTATGAGATTTCCATTATAATCATACAATTTAGAATTAATTAATTTAAGAATTTAATCACTTTGGTGAGTAAAATCCACTTTGATATAATTCTAAAATGATCTATAAATTTTATAAATTATATTCCTTATTTTGCCGTGAAATCACTGTGCATGGTCATGCTTTTATTTGATGCATGGTCGTGCTTCGATGAAGCAAGGCCATTCTTATTTCTGATGCACGCCCCTACTTCCTGAAGCATGGTCGTGCTTATATTTGATGCATGGTCGTGCTTGTTCCTGATGTGTGGCCATGCTCCCTGATGCATGGTGCTGCTCACTGATATATAGCCCTGCTCACTGATACATGGCCCTACTCATACTACATATTCAAAATCTAACGTTTCTAGCTTCCAAAACCTTAGGATTTTCAATTATTGAATCCAAAACAATTATTTAACATCAAAATTATGTCAATCCATCATATAAAATACCTAGGGTTCGTGTAATTTGGGAAAAACTTTAATGGAGAACCAATCTTTTATGGAGTATCAACGAAATTCACAGCCTAACTCTGACACCAACTGTTAGAATTTTCTTATTTCATTATGTAATTTTCATTGTGATTCAGCTATTATGAAATTACCATTTTCCTTAGGATCTTGAATTACGTTGTTCTCACAACACAATATATGGTTCTTACTCAATTAACAGTTTAGAGAGCACTAACCTGAATCCATTGCTCTTTGATGTTACCTCTCTCTCTTTGAAGTCGTTGATCCCTTTGTATTTTCTCCAATTCTTCCTTCCTCTTTTAGCTTTTCTCGGATGGTTGAGAGAAAATTCCTTTATTGCGTTTACTATGAGTACACTTAGAGACCGTGAAAATGATAAACACAATAGAGAATTCCTGTAACCTTTATTTAGTAACTGCTCTTTTATTTATTTAAAGGGAGAGGAGAGGATTTTCTTATAATTGTATTTATAATTATACCTTCAATGATTCTATATTTTATATTTAACTACCATAACATTAAATCATTAATTAAAGTCATATTATAAGTTATATAAGTTACTATAATAAGATTATTAAAATAATCTTACAGCTTATGTTTTAACTTTTTGTCTACGACTATGTTGAAGAACTGTTTGACTTTCTCGCTAATTTCTCCTATAGCACTCTCCAAGTTGTTGAAGAGTTCTTATAACACAGCGTAAGTAACTATACAACAACTAACAATTTAGTCATATTACTAGGCCACATATTGTGGATTGGGTATAGGTATGGTATCACACCAACCCTCCAACAAAAGAAATAACATGCCAAGCCGGCAAAGGAGAACTTGCATCTAATATATGAAAGGCAAAGGGTGATCAATGAGAACATGAAAAATTGCTTCACTTGACTAATACAATGTTGTATATGAATTTCAACAATATTAAAGTAGGCATCATGCACCTTGTCAACAGATTGAATCTGCGAGAAAGCTTGCCTCACACTTCCACATTTGACTTGACTACCTTTGTGGAACTCTTGAAAACTTCCCCAATGTCTTAGACATTTTTCTATGTGTTTTGCAGTACATATTAAACGAAGAACAAAAGAAAGAATTCAAGTGCAAAAGAGATTATTAAAATTGAATAGCCAAATAAAGTATTTTAACGCAAAATTTAAAACTCTCACAAAAATTAAATTCCCACTTTAAGGTCTTTATAGAAACACACTCTAATTGTTTTTATATTATTATATGAATTAGAAGAGGTTAGACTAATATATAACATTTAAGTGTATTATTTTCAAATAATAATAAAAATATAAATATAAATGTAGTTTGATAATTCTTTTATATTTAGAATGTCACTTTTTATTTTTGAAATAATTTAAAAAAATGTATGTATTGTAAAAATATATAATATTAGATGTGATGTTAATTTTTAATAACTCAAATAAAAAGATTGATAAACACCGATTAGAAAAATGACAAATATTTTTTTGTTAAAATTTTATTAAAATATAATAAAAAAATAATATGAAATATTACATTGATATGTTTTCCAATAATTTTTTTTATCCTAGAGTACTTGGGAGCAATTCTTTAATAAATTTTGGTAATTAGGGAAGGCTAAGTTTGCTGGTGTGGTGAGAATTTGAAGTTGACTGGTTTGGTATGTTGTTGATTTACATTACATTGGCGACGCGTTTACGCTACAGAGCTTATTAACAAGATCTGATCGGATCTGAAGCTGAAAGGGTTAAACGACGGTTGTGAATTGTGATGAAGATGGGGTCTTCAGCTTCCTCCTTCGTCCTCTTCCTCTTCCTCATAGTCGCTTTGTTGCCATCGTCGCTCTCAGAGATCCGCTTCTCGGAGATCCGAGACGACGATCGCCCCATCATTCCCTTCGACCAGTTCGGATTCACGCACAAGGGTCGCCTGGAGCTCAAAGTTTCCAAAATCTCACTCTCAAATTCTAATCTTGACCTCTCCAAAGTCGGGTTCTTCCTTTGCACCCTCGATTCGTGGCTCCATGTCCTTCAGCAACTCGAAGATGGTGAGATTCGCTGCGCCCTTCAGTCCGATCTCGTCAAGTCCGTTTACACCTTCAATACTCTCAACGGCCAAGACTCATTCAACGCTCCCTACAATGAAACCGACGCCGATCAGTACAACCTTGTCTTCGCCAATTGCCAATGGCAGCAGCTTAAAGTGAGCATGGACGTGGAGTCTGCCATGTACAATCTCGACGGAAAGAGCGGCGTTCGCGATTACCTCTCCGCCGGCAGAACCATCCTTCCGAGGGTTTACTTTCTCTTCTCGTTGGTTTATTTCGCCCTCGCTGCTGTTTGGATAAGCGTCCTCTACAAGAAGCGATTGACCACTTTCCGCATCCACTACTTCATGCTGGCCGTTCTCATCCTGAAAGCTTTGAATCTCTTGTGCGAGGCTGAGGACAAATCCTACATCAAGCGCAGCGGAAGCGCCCACGGTTGGGATATCCTCTTTTACATTTTCAGCTTTCTCAAGGGAATTTCACTCTTCACTCTCATTGTCTTGATTGGCACTGGCTGGTCCTTCCTCAAACCCTTCCTTCAGGATAAGGAAAAGAAGGTTCTCATGATTGTTATCCCTCTTCAAGTCGTTGCCAACATTGCTCAGGTCGTAATTGATGAGAGTGGCCCCTACGGCCATGACTGGATTACTTGGAAACAGGTCTTCCTCCTTGTTGATGTCGTGTGTTGCTGTGCTGTGCTCTTCCCCATTGTCTGGTCCATCAAGAACCTCCGTGAGGCCGCCAGGACTGACGGCAAGGCCGCGGTTAATTTGATGAAGTTGACTCTCTTCAGGCATTACTACGTCGTCGTTATCTGTTACATTTACTTCACCAGGGTTGTCGTTTATGCCTTGGAGACTATAACCTCCTATCGCTATTCTTGGACCAGTGTGGTTGCTGCAGAGTTAGCCACGCTTGCTTTCTATGTCTTTACTGGCTACAAGTTCAAACCTGAGGCTCACAATCCTTATTTTGTCATCGATGATGAGGAGGAAGAGGCTGCCGCCGAGGCATTGAAGCTTGAAGATGAATTCGAATTGTAATTTCTCTGAAAATACAAAATTAAGGTTTTGTCAATTTAGATGGTTGAAGAAGTTGGGACAGTGCTCAGCAATCCTCAGGTTTCATCTCAACAACCAGTAGAAATTTTATGTTACATTTTGTGGGGGGTATAGTCATCATCATGCTATATTTTCTGTGTTCTGGCCCCGTGCCAGTTCTATGAATTAGTGTCATAATATCCTAGACCCTTTGTGTAGTCCTGTGAACCGTATATTACTTCTAAGTATTGATACTTTGATACCATATCGTGCGAACATTTTTGTCATGACTGGTTTTATTCTACTTATTTCCCGCTTCAAACATCTATTACTGCAAATTGTGTCGGAATTTGTCCAACCATTAGCAGTTTAGCACTAGAACATAGAATTCTAAGTTTGTTGGAAACATTAATCTAACCATTACGACTGGAATTATGAATATGCATTTCTGGTGGCAAATGTAGAAATATCATGGAACCTACACTCATGAGTTCATTGTATGTAAGAATCAAACAAGGTGGAGTCATTGCACAAATCTGGTAATATAATGGAAAATTAAATCTCTAGTAAACTAGCTTTTACATTAAGTGTTTTCTGAAATGATTTACTGTGCGTAAGCAGCATCTCTTCGACAGCCCTTTTCCGTCCAAACTTAAAGCCTTGTTCTGAAGTGACAAGGAGTGCAGTGACACTTTTAGTCCGTTGCAGAGATAGAGGACTGGAGCAACCAGAGAATGAGAAGTAGAAACCAGAGCCCTTTCACTGCCACTTTTTTTATTTTTAATGTCTTTTAACTCTTCTAGGGTCCCTCATCCCAAACTGTAGCAAGCTTCTGTCTGCTGATCTCCACTCACAGTTCCACCAGTAATTTACCACAACCTACCATTCAGTTTATTTCAGAAGAGAATGACAAGCAAGATTGAAGAGAAGAGACTTATAATGTTGGGAGAATCTACTATGAGATTTGACAGGATTATGCTTAAGATTCATAATCAGAGAACACCTTCATTACCTCTCAGTTTCACAGGATTACCATTGATCTAAATTTCATCTTCTTTTGTGATTCTTGTGAGTAAATGTTTCGACAAGTTTTACATTAGTTTCTAAAAGCCTAACACAATCCTCTTCTTTTACCCGAGCTTGGGATTGGCTATGAGATCATAGGTGAAGGAAATTATTAAAAGAGATCTAATGATAAATAGTATTTCTAAGGATTTGGTTTTTGACCAAGTTCAATGGCGTCAAGTGATCCATATAGCCAACTTCACCTAGTGACATAAGTTTGGTTGTTGTTTTAAATCCTATGATACTTTTATTTTCTTTCATTTAAAGCCTGTTGGATGTGACTGAATGGCTTTGGCTGAACATGATTATGTTGCTTTCCTTGTTACCTAAATAAGTTATTGTTGGTCTAGTTGAATTTGTTATAATGTCTGTTCTCATTTTTTAATAAGTGTTATGCAATTTGAGCAAATTTGGTAGGTTGCCTTACTTTTTTATGTTCCAATATACTGGTGGTGGTGTGAGTGTCTGAGCAAATTTGGTAGGTTGCCTTGCTTTTTTATGTTCCAATATACTGGTGGTGGTGTGAGTGTATGAGCAAGAAAGATTTGTGGCTTTTGTTGGCTTAACAGTTTGCAGTTAATATTGTGATTGGCATGTCTAATGAAGTGAAAGTTTGTTTAATTTTTGTATCTAACATCACTGTGAAGGAGAAAATGAAGGACATATTAGTTGTTTTGGTTTCAAAAATAATGTTACAATATCGAAAATACATCTCCTAATATCATCGTTCATCATTATACCTTAGTGTATTTTAGAATATATTAGATAATTGCTTAGGAGTGGTTTCCACTTTCTTTTGTACTTCATAAATGTTTCCTTATTTTATTTGGATTTGGAATCTAATACAAGTATAAACTGAGATTAGTGCTGTTCAGTATTTATGAAGCATAGACACAAACGCAAACACAACATCACATTGACATGCACTATGGGTGCATTTAGCTATATAGCTTAATTAAGCACTGATTCAGTAAACTGTTTTTATGGCTTATGCCATCAATTTAACCAAAAAGTTTATTGAGATAAGTTGAAAACAAATTATTTTGATAAGCTATATATTAAGAAGCTTATTGAAATAAGCTAAAAGAAAGCTTATGATTTCATAAGTTGTTCATAAATTCTTTCAGGTAAAATCTACAGTACTCTTTGTAATTGAGAGAGTTTGGTATTCTCTCTTACACGTAGAACAATTCTGACCGTTAATTCTAGATTGATAGATAATGGAGTTAGTGGTTTAATTAAAAAAGATGTTAATACCCTTTTATTTTTAAAATATTAAAGGAATCACAACCATTAATCTGAAGATGGTATAGAATACCCTCTCAAGTTTATGGGTACCATAGTAAGCACCATTTTTCCAAATAGCCTTTGTGTCTATAATATAATACACACGAACATGAGGCCGCCCCAAACCATACATACCAGCCAATTTAATTAATTATGAACAAAATAATAAAAGATCTAAATTTAGAAATAGGATTTATAATTTCATTTTCCCAAAATGACTTGTTAAGGTTTGCATTCATAATAGTCCCACAAAAAGTGCTCTGGCCATATTTGATTGGAGGTTGAGTTGCTAAGCTGTGTCTAGTACATGTCTAAGTTGGCAAAAGTTATTTTATTTTATTTTTACTTGGATATTGGTTGAGCAGTGTCCAACACATTTGTACAAGTGTTGAAGGAGAATCTGTCTGACACTCTGTTATAAGGAAAAACTATGCCAGTGCTTCATGTGTCAGAATAATATTCTATAATGTAAATAATATTATTCATAGTCTATTTTATCTTTCTCAACCTTCTATTCCATCCTCCCATCACTTTTCCCTTGTGAATCTAACCTCCAAACATATGAAGTTCTCTTTTCACCTGCGGACTCTTTTGCGCATTTCAATGTGGCCAATCTGATGACACCCAGCTTCTTCTATCTTGGTTTGTTTCCTTCCAGAAGGTGTTTGGCTGTATTTTGGGGTCTAATTGTCTCCTAACTTGTTTGAATGGTTTTTATGCTATGTTTGAGTGTGAACTACCTTTACCTTGACCATTTTTTTTGGTATTTGTTCTTCCAGCTTCCTGAGTTACTTGTTAAATCTACAGCTTTGCTTGTTTTCTTTTTGGGTATTATAATTGGTATTCCATGCAGCCCTGTCTTTGTCCCAGATGTAGTCCAGCACTATAGCCTCTATCTTTCTTCTCGGCCTGGTCCTTGTCCTAGATACTGTTTGGCTCTGCTCCTGTACCATGTCTAGTTGTCACTAGTTTATAGCTGAGTGAGCTGTTGCTTGAGGAGTCTTAGAATATGTAAGAAATATCTCATAACATGTTGATTATATCTGTATTTTAGAGTATCTTAGATGATCTTTTAGAACTGGTTTCTATATTTCTTGATTTATTTTCATATTTGACCAGTATTAGGAATTTAGGGAGTGTAAGTAATTAGGGTTAGTGTTTTGTATTTTGTGTCACACGAGTATACATAATAGAACGTTATTCATAGTCTTTTATTTCTCTCTTTCCGTTACTAAAATCTCTACTATTTTTACAATTAGCATTCCCAGTATTGATGTAAGAGTCCAACGATTTGATTTGGAATAGTTTTTTTTTGTTTAACTTGAAGGGCTTATGTACTGTCTTATTGCTGCTGATCGACTCGCTTCTTATATTCTACCGTTTGCTCCTGATGTGTCATAGTCGTAGAGAATTGTTCTTTAAGAACTTGCGCTTTTATTGAATATTTTACAATGGATTTAAACTTTTTCTTCCGAAACTATCTGATTCAGCCCATTCCAAATTGCCCAAATCTTACAACGAAGAGCAAAAGCTTGGTCTGTTTTGTTTGGCTTAATCAGTAGGACTCTTCCAAAGGCACAAATCGAACTTAGTGACATTTTTAGCCATTGCATAAATTGAAGTTGATAAGGCTGGAGCTTCTACTAAAAGATGGAGCAAAGCCAAGTATTAGGTTTGGCTTGGAATGTAAATGGAGCAGGCAAAAATAGTATGTATTCTTTCTCCGAACTCATGAGTAAAAATCCATCTCAAACCAATCCCATACTTGTATGGTAACATTAAATGAATTTTAAACAGATTTATGAATATTTATTAAAAAATGAATAATAGAAAATTTTAAAATTAATCTAGTTTAAAGTAATTTATATAAAATATTATAATTGGAAGAATAAATAGAACACTTAAATATAATAAAATATATACAATTTAATGTACATCACCACTTGTGAGTACTTGAATACCTACATCCAGCCTGTTAACGAGCAAATATAGAAAAACTCATTTAATTAAACTCGTAGGTATTCACACGTACATGTATTTTTATGTGAAGGTGCAAATAATTTGTGGTCCGTAAGTTTGTCACTTCTACCCACGAACCAAACATTATGGTTCTGCTTGTGAAAATATTTGGAACTTGAACTGTAGACTGTTTAAGGTGAAGATGATACTAATAACACGTTATTAACAACATCGAGGACCACGACGATCAATTTAATAAAATGAACAATTAGGTAGGAATTATGACGGAGTTCAGTTCACTAGGTTCTTTTTTAGCTTACATACGCTAAGGCAAAACTCGATCTTAAAAAGAAATTGAAGTTATAATTAAATAGAAAGATCATATAAAATGTGCAAATGATCTATCATAATTCTAACTATAGTTTAGCTACACATAACAAAATAAAAAAAATAAAATTTTACTCTTGTAAAAAATTATCATAAAGAAAATGTCTAACATAAGAAAAGTGGTGGGCCACCAAAGTTCCCTGAGAAAAGGGATAAGGCTTAGACCAATTCTACTCAATAATTTACTTTTTAAGAATATTTTTTGTAAATATTAACTTTCAATAATATGTTAAAAATAACAATAATGTGATAAAAGATATTTGACAATAGAAACTAATTTCAAATATTTTTAAAATGTTAGAGACTAAATATTAATAATTCTTTTAAGAACTAAAAATATAGTTAACTCTAATTAATAATCAATTGATCTTTTTCACTCTCTTTTAGCCATGTTTACCAGTTAGAGTAAAAAGACAATATTTGATCGTAATTTATTTTTTGTATTCGTATAACAAAATATGATAAGTTATCCTACTCTATCCTATCTTTATAATTTAAATTCTAATTTTCAATAGGGTGATAGGTTAGGAAACATTAGAATATGATAATTTTTCTATTATTTTCTTACTCATACTTTATATTTTTTTAATATATTTATAAAAATAAATATATGAACTTTTTAAATAAAAGTTTACTTAAAAAAATATAATTTAGTAAAATATTTTTCAATTTTTACTCATTTAAAAATGTAATTTTAAAATTTTTATAATTTATTTTTGTTTAATTATATTTTTCCAAAATAAAATTTTGACCATAGAAAAGTTGAAGAAAATTATTATAATTTATTAAAATCTTAAAATTATATGTACACAAAAAATTTTAATATATATTATTTTATTGAAAATTTAAAAAAATAAATAATATTTTAAAAAATCATATTAACTTTGATAAAAGAATAATTTTTATTTAAATATAATTTATATCTTATTTTATTAGTTTTTATTAATCTAAAAATAAACAAAATAAGGTAATGTTATTTGTTATACTGTTATAATATATGTCAGATATAAAATAAGATAAAATTTATTATTACTTTTTATCATATTTTATTTTTATCCAACTCTGTATCTTATCAATTTTTAATCATATTTGATCAGCCCTTAAAGCAAATTATCTAGTATATATGATTATTTTAAAAAAAATCTAAAATAAAACATATAAAATTGTTAAACAAAGATATACATGAAGGGAAATAAGTACTAAACAAGTATCCAACATTTATCCCTATAATTGAGGAGGATCCCCTCTACAATTGTTATATAACCATCAATTTATGTCAATATTACAGTCTGATTTTGTATCTTGAATAAATTGCAATGATATTTTTAGTTTTACATTTTAAAATTTGACGAAAATATGATTCAATAACATGGTAGCCATGCTTTTCAAATAACAATTATTTTCTTTATAACTCAATCTCATTTAAATCATATTTTTTTATAATTAAATTTTTTATTTTAAAAAATCTGTCTTCAGTTTAATCCTATTTAGGACAATAAAATATTCACCTTTTTAAATCGATATTACTAATGAATTTAAAAATAATCATATAATACAGTAGTCCATTTTTAAATAATCATATTTAAGATGACTTCTAAACTGCATTTCTTTCTGAGAGTCGCAGTTTAGAAGATAAAATTCTTTTCTTCCCACCGAAAGAAATGCAGAAATCCTTGACAATTCATGTGATCATTCCCATCACGTGATTTACATAATGTTTTTCTGAGGCATTTTAAAATCCATTAAAAAGGTTCTCATGCAAACCTTCTACATCCACACTTCCACCGTTCTCTTTCTTTTGCTTCATTGGTTCCTCATGTGACTCTAATCTTGCGTCCGTGACTTTGTTGCTACAGACAAATGACAATTCTCCTTTCTGCGCCTCAAATTTTGGCACCCCATATAAACAAGTTTTTAAGTCCAATTTTCTGGCGTAAGTTACGCCAATTGTAACCACAGTAACATCTATCTACATGCCAAGAAAACGTGCATCTATTATATCTCGTTATCGACATATATATTCTTCTGAAAATGGCCTTTTCTTGCTCCAAGCATCCAATGATAAGAATAAAGCACTTTGGACTTTCTGCTAACCCGGTTTGGTGCAGTTGATCCCGTGACCAACGAGCATTAACGTTCCTAACTTCCAACTTCTCCCCGTCTATAAATGCAATCAATTTCCACGTTATGAACCATCGCTCCCTTAATTCTCTGAACCCAGAACCGTACATGCCAAAAGGGATGGCTTCAGCCACCACATTTTCACTAATGTTACAGTTTCTGTTATTAATATTTTGTTCATTCAACCAGTTAAGCTTGGCATTCACTTCGCAAGACTACCATGAGGCTCTTGAGAAATCCATTCTCTTCTTTGAGGGACAGCGATCTGGAAAGTTGCCTTCCAACCAGCGCCTCACATGGAGAGCAGATTCTGGATTGTCCGATGGCTCTTTTTATCATGTAGAAAGTCTAAACTAAGATTGAACTGCATCATGTGTAAGTAAAACATGTTCTTTGCTCACTGTCTAACCATGTCTGCGTTGGTTAATGTTGTTCAGGTGGACCTAGTAGGTGGTTATTATGATGCTGGAGACAACGTTAAGTTTGGGCTACCAATGGCCTTCACCACTACATTACTAGCATGGAGCGTCATTGAGTTTGGAAGCTCAATGCAGGAACAGATTGATAATGCTAGAGCCGCTATTCGGTGGAGCACTGACTACCTTCTTAAGGCTGCCACCACCACTCCTGATACATTATATGTCCAAGTGAGTCAAATGAAACTGTGTCGAGTCTAATTTTTTAATACTTAGAATACTCTTCGAAGCATAGTCAAACCAAAAAATGCAAGACTGATTTCCTAACGTCAGATACCACAGTACATATAATTAATATTTATAATTAAAATAGAGTTAGAGAAATATTAAACTCGTATTATATAGAAGAAAAATATTATTTATTTATTAAAGACACCAATAACATTATTTCTCAATAACATGAGAAAATAACATTAACAACACTTGAATAACCTTTAAATAAAAATATAAAACTCTCATGTTAAGACAATTTATTAGGTAAAAAAGTTTTTAAGGTAGGAAATCTCACAATAAATAGAACATCCTTCAAGTGTGAATCTATTTATTTATATTAGCTTCCTCCATCTACTCAACAACAATTTTTAGATTCTATATCCTCCACACTTAGATGTCAAGTGAACTCATCTAGTGTTACTTTTTTTTTTATGGTGCACTCTCATATTGACCATGAACAGCTCTTTTTTATTGACTATAGACGCTCTCTTTACCAACTCATCTAAACCTATGAACTAATCATCTATATTAACTTGAGTAGGAGAATTTTTAATATAAAGAATTTTACAATGAGTAAGATACTACAATGCAATCCAAAAATCTTAAGGTAATGAATACATGGATTTATCTATCCAAATATCCAAAAATCTTAAGGTAATGAATACATGGATTTATCTTTCCCTAACTTGCTCATATCTTGATAGAACTCAATTCACACACTTGATTCCAATGCATTTATATAAATACACACACGATTACTGTTGAGGGCTTAACAGGGTCATGAATTGTTTTGCATAAATTATTTAGAAGGTTTTCCAAACAGGCTCCTAACAAGTTGTGCGCTGGAACGGATTATGCAGGTAGGAGACCCGAACATGGATCACAGGTGTTGGGAAAGGCCTGAAGATATGGACACTCCACGAAACGTGTATAAGGTATCAGCTCAAAACCCAGGGTCGGATGTAGCGGCAGAGACGGCAGCAGCGCTCGCAGCTTCTTCATTAGTCTTCAGAGATTCGGATCCCAACTACTCCTCCATATTGCTCCAAGCAGCCATCAAAGTAATAAACTGTTCCTTCCTTTTCAATTCATTTCTCGCTTGCTTGGTGATCGGTGCACTGTTCAAGTTCTAATCGGGGTGAGTTTTACTTTGCAGGTATTCAATTTTGCAGATCGTTACAGGGGCTCTTACAGTGACTCTCTCAATTCAGTGGTCTGTCCATTCTACTGCTCTTACTCTGGTTACCATGTAAGACATACACATACATAAGCTTGCATTCAGCTTCCATCTTTGAAATGAATGGCATAATATGCGTGTTGTGGTAAATAGGATGAGCTTCTATGGGGCGCATCATGGATTTATAAAGCCTCAGGAATTAGCTCCTACATGCAATACATACGATCAAATGGGCACGTATTAGGCGCTGATGATGATGATTACTCTTTCAGTTGGGACGACAAGCGACCTGGAACAAAAGTCCTGCTTTCCAAGGTACCCTTTTGGGTAGCTCTCTTCACTTTGACTCACTCCATTACATATAATAAGTTTGATTTTGCATTAACATAATGGCAGGAATTTTTGGAGAAAAATTCTGTAGAGTTCCAATTATATAAGGCACATGCAGACAATTACATATGTTCGCTGATGTCGGGAACCCCTCGTTTCCAGGCTCAGTTCACCCGAGGTCAGCATTAGCAAAAAAATTTTTTAAATATTAATATTTTATTAAAAAAGAATTTAAATTACCGGATATTCTAATCCGTTATAACCTTATATAACTCTAAAAAAAGTATAAAAAGTTAATCCAATATATAAATACAATTAATTTTTTTAAATTAATTCATTATAATTTTAAAATAATTAACAATATAAAGAGATTATTAATCCAATTTACATAGTTAATTTTTTTAAATTAACTCTATTTAAAAAAATTAATAATACATATTAAAAAAATTATAAATTCAATTTAAATATACAATTAGTTTTGTTAAAAGCTCATCAGTTACTTTAAAAAATAATATTTAATAAAATTAAATATTTTACTAGTATTTAACCGTTATAACTCTAACAAAATTAATATGTGAAAAGATTACTAATTCAATTTAAATATACATTTGATTTATTTAGATGCCTTTAAGTGAGTTTCAAAAACAATACTTAATAAAATTAAATATTTTAATAGTATTTAACATATAAAATATAAATTAATATATGAATATTAATTTAATAAATTAATTATGAATTTATATATATACATACATGTATGCAGGGGGGCTTCTGTATAAAGGGAGCGAAAGCAATTTGCAGTATGTGACATCGACGACGTTCCTTCTCTTGACATACGGAAAGTATCTGAAGGAACATGGAGGAGTTGTGTCGTGTGGGACTTCAACGGTGACGGATGAGAGTGTGGTAGCACTGGCCAAAACACAAGTGGATTACATTATGGGGAACAATCCCGCAAAGATGTCTTATATGGTGGGTTTTGGGGAGAGGTATCCAAAGCATATCCACCACAGGGGTTCCTCTCTACCTTCCATTCATGCCCACTCTCAACGCATTTCCTGCAACAATGGCTTTCAATTCCTCTATTCAGCCTCACCCAATCCTAACCTCCTCGTTGGAGCCATCGTCGGTGGTCCCGATAGCAACGACAATTTCTCTGATGATCGCAATAACTATCAGCAGTCAGAGCCTGCAACCTACATCAATGCACCTTTCGTCGGTGCTGTTGCCTTCTTCTCTGCCATTCCCACAACTTTGTAATCTTTCTTATATCAATTTTCCGTCAGGGCAACGGTGTGCTTATTGTCAAGAAACATGATTCAGGAAAAATAGTAGAACTAAAATGAAAGAAATGAAAATTTGTATTAATCTCAATGAGTGAAAAGGTTAGTTTTACAAGAAAAAATAAAAAGTTTATATAACGTATAGAATTAACTAACTACTTAGCAGACTTAACTAATTACTTCAAGTTTGGGATAAACAACACAAATGTATAAGACAAGTAAAAAGAAAAAATAGAAATACATTTATCAAAATAACAAAGGCATTAGTATTTAATATAATCAAAACTAGAATACTAGACAAAAATGAGCTTCAACATTTGTTTATCCAACAAAAGTAACAAAAATCAATGCTTGACCATCCAAAGAAGAAGTCTTCATCATCATTGGCTTAACCACTAAGGTAGGAAGCAAAATCAAGCTTAACCACCATAAGGCAGAAGCAGAAACCATGAGGAAGTAAAACCAAGCTTAACCACCATAAGGTAGAAGCTGAAACTATCAAAACTTAACCACCAAACAGAAATGATACCTCAACACTTAACCACTTGAAAGAAGTCCAAAAAAATCAAGTCAAACAAGGTTGAAACAATAACAAAATAATAGGAGCAAACCCTTGCATATGTCAATCTTCATGAATATAAGAGAAATCTTCAAAAAAGAACTTGATCCAGAGAGCTTGTGAGCCCCATTTTATGACACTAAAGCATATCAAGAAACTACAAAAAAGTCTTTAGCCTAAGCAAAACTGCTACAAAACTTAGTCCCAGATTTGAAGCCATGTGTAACATATCTCTATGTCTGAAAAAGCACCTTATGTGTGCAACTAGCCCCAAACCAAAAAAAATTCCAGAAGCACAACATCAGAAGCTACCAAGAGAGAATAAGAGGCAATAACCAAATGCAAAAAAACTTGTAGGCAATACATCAAATTTCTTTGATGCATCAATCACCATAGAGTATAAGAGTATACACAGGTAAGACTAATTACTCACAATTTCAAAAAATTGCAAGTCAAGAACGATAAATCTTGTTAAAAAAAATTGATCCATTAAAATATATGGAATCAATTTCATATTGACAAAGAAAAAAAATGATTTAAATCAGAGAGGCTTTAGTAATCTAAAGCCCAAGACAAGGGTCCACATTGAAGTAGCAATTACAGAAACGCAATCGGAGCTAACGTTTCTAATCAGTGACCATGGATCTCTCAAGCATGTAAAGCAAGAAGAGTAAAAAATCTCTCAAGCATGTTGTGAATATGTATGTGTGTGTGCGTGTGTGTGTATATATGTGTGTGTGTGTGTGTGTGTGTGTGTGTGTGTGTGTGCATGACTGGTTGGGTTAAAATGGGCTAAGTGCCTAAGTACAGAGAAAAATACTAGGCTATTCTCGCTGCAGCGAGAGGGCCCTGGGAGGAAGGACCAGAACTGTCGCCTTCTCACTGTAGCGACAAAGCGACAGTTTGGGGTGCATTTCTAGGTGCAGTCTTGCTGTAGCGAGATTCTGCAGAAACCAGAGTGCAGTTTTCTCTGATTTTTTCGCTGTAGCGAGAAAGCGTGTCGCTGCAGCGAGGTCCCCTCGCTGTAGCGAGAGTGTCGCGACCAGAAAAGGATTTAAAAGGGGTTAGGGTTAGGGGAGAGTTATTTCTCCCTCTCCCTTCGAAATCCCTTTGATTCTCTCGTCTCCAAACCCTTTTTCACCAATTATATTGCCTCCAAAGCCGTTCAGAAGCTTGATTGAAGATTGGAGTTGTGTGGAGAATGCTTGGAGGTGAGTTTTACTTGTTAGGGTTTCAATTTTTCGTTCTCTTTCTCTATTTTCGTGATTTTCCTGGGTTCTCATGGAGTTTCTCCATGTGTTTAGGACGAAATCCGTGAGGGGGAGCATCTCTTGGTGGGTTTAGCGTGTGGGTCTTCAATCCGAGGTAAGGGGAGACTCTATCCTACTCTTTTGTGCATCAATTGTTGATATTCTGCTGAATATTGTGTTGTGGCTGAGTTAGTGGATAGGAAATTGTTGAGAAATGTAATGTGGGCCATGTCCCGTGGTATGTGAACATGATGTGTGTTGATCCAAAATTGATAGATGTGGATTGTATGTAAATGTTGTGTGATAGAATGAGTATAGGCACTTGTGCCGTATATTTGAATGAATATTGTAAAAATGTAGGCCCAAGGGCCGTGTAATGTTAACGATAATTGTGGGCTGTGTGCCGTGTGTAAGCATGATTACCGCATGCGTGAATGAAATATGTGTGAATGGGCGTGTTAGTGCCGTTGTAATGTATTGTGAATAGTTCAGTGATACACTGGGGATGTGGGAGATGAGGACGGTAGAAATACCTTGGGGAAAAGGGAGTGGTGGTGACACCAACTGCGGAACGGGTGCACCACAGGCCACACACTCTCTTCCTAAATAAACCTCTGACCGCTATCTTTGCTGAGCGACCCGTGACAGCTCACGTGGTATCCGTGAGGCGGGGGTAACCGGTGACCATTCATGGTGTAAATCTGTTATCACAGTACCACAGTGAGTGTGGTTGGCATGTGTGTGTGTATGCACGAGTTTTGTGTACTGTACCTATGGATATGGAATACTACATGTGATTGTATTTGTTTAATGTATTGGAAATGTGCTGAAGGTGAGATTCTATGTTGATTGTGTGTTTTTGGATAGTGTAGAATACTCACCCTTACATTCATTTTTTAGGTAATCAAGACGATTAGCACCGGACTCAGTAAAGAGGTGGATAAAACTGCTATAGGACTTAGGATATTATTTTGGAAAACTGTTGTATTTGAATAAATCTTATAACTGTTTGATATAATTTGTAACCCTTTCATTTATTTGAAATGGTTAATGAAACTTGAATTAAAAATGAAAATTTTATTATCTCAAAAATTTGTAAAATTTCTTATTTATGAAAATTAAATTTATGGTGTTACACAGAAGGTCTATGACGATGTCATCCATCATGACCATCCTCATACACTCGTCATTCATTATTGTGTGCATATAAGAGAGGAAAGGGGGAAAGAGAAGGGGGTGACAGAGGTGTTGGAAGAAAAAGAGAAGGGGAGATGGGTTTATATAATAATAATAAAAAAGAGATCTGTCCAATAACTAATAGAATTAGAAACTTATGGTAAGTAATATTAGGGATGGAAATGACTGGTCTGTGGTCAGGCTTGAACTTTTTAATAAATAAATAAGGTTTATACTTTTTTAATAGTTTGTTTAAATAAATAAATTAGGTCTGAGCTATTTATAAAGCTTGTTAAGTCTGACAGGCTGACCTATATATATATATATATATATATATATATATATATATATATATTATAATTTAAAAACAGAGTTGTCAAAATATATTTAAATAATAAAGTTATTTAATAATATATTTTTATATTCTTAATTCTGTTATTATTAAATTTATATTATGTTATAATTATTTTTATTTATAATTATAATAAACAGAAATTATATTCTATTAAAAATTAAAAATATTTATACACGATTACACTTTTTAAATAATAAATTTATTTAATAATAAATTATTATATTTGTTATATTTAAACAAGTTAAATAATAGTTAACTCTTTGAACAAAAATAAAATGCAATCAAAACTAAACGAAATAAAATTTAAAAATAAAATAATAAAATTATATTAATATATTTTTTATACTCTTAATTTTATTATTATTAATTTAATTATTATATTAATATATTATGTTTAATTCTTTTTCTTTAAAATAAATAGAAATTATTTAAATATGAATTATATTTTATTCAAAACTAAAATTTTATTAAAAAATATAGAAAAATAAAATAAAAAATTTAATATACAATATATAATAGGACTATATAGTAAATAATATAATTTTAAATAAATTATGTATAATAATATAAACTTTTTATAATTTACTATGTGTTTTACCTTTATTGGTATAATTTTTTTTTATGAAAGTATCTATAAAAAAAATTTAGATACCAGGTCCATAACACTGACACACAACCACACACATAAATATAAATATGTCAAATTTTAATTATTTTATATTATATTTAAAAATAAAATATTTATACACGATTATACATGTTTAAAAAATAAATTTATTTAATCATAAATTATTACACTTGTTACATTTAAATAAGTTGAAGAACGTCTAAGTCTTTGAATAAAAATAGGACACAGTTAAAACTAAATAAATTAAAATTTAAAAATAAATATTAATATTCTATTAATATATTTTTTATATGTTAGTTTTATTATTATTAATATTCAATTATTATATTAATATATTATATTATAATTTTTTATTTATAATAAATAAAAATTGCTTAAGTATGAATTATATTTTATTTGAAAGTAAAAATTTATTAAAAAAATGATAAAAAAAAATAAAATAAAAAACTTATTATAATATATATATATATATATATATATATAATCAGACATATAGTAAATAATATAATTATAAATAAATTATATAATAATATATATTTTTGTAACTTAGACATGTTTTAATTAAATTATTAGTTATTTTATCAATTTATATGTAATATATAAGTATGTGTTTTAATTTATTGTATCAGTAATATTTTCTATATTATATTAATGTTATAGTGTGGTTAATTTTATGTTTATTTGTTAATTTAAGATAACAAATTAATGAAACAAATAGAATTAAATATTTTTAAATTATTTTTTTAATTTAATATTTATTATTATTGTCATTATATATATATATATATATTGCATTAAGTTTAAATTTATTTATTTTTTAAAACATAATTTTCTTTTAATTGATTCAACAAATTGTGTGAATATTATTTTTTGTGATCAATTTTATGTATTTACTATAACTTTATTTGTTGAATATAAGATGTCTTTAAACAAACAAAATATGTTTTTAAAATAAAACTTAAATATTTAATATTTATATAATTTTTAAAAAATAAATCAAGAAAAATATAAATATAAATTTTATTAATAATGCTTAAATAATATTTTAAAAATTATTTATAAAATTATATAAATATTATTATAATTGTTTAATAATTATTAATAACATAGATAGAAATTAGAAAAATATGTAAACTAATTTGATAATAAAATATTTATATTTTTATTAATATTAAAATATTTTTTTTGTAACAAGCTTTGTTAACATACTTTAGGCCAGGTCAGATTACTTAAATAGGGCAAACCAGGTCTAAAATAAAGCTTTTAACAAATAACATACCAAACTTATTTAGAGTAAAGCCTGACGCCTATTTCTATCCCTAAGTACTATAGATCTGATGACATGTCAAGAAACATGGTCCAGAAAAAATAATAGAACTAAAATGAAAAAATAAAAATTTGTATTAATCTGAATGAGTGAAAAGGTTAATTTTATAAAAAAAAAATAGAAGATTTATATAGTCTATATATAGAATCAACTAATTATTAAGAGTCTTAATTAATTTCTAGCACTTCTCATTTTTTACATTAAGTTATTTGCAATTAATTCTCTATTATTATTTGTTATTTCACCCCATTCTTTCTCCTTGATTCCTTTTTTTTTTTTTTCCCTGAGACCTAGATTCCTTCTTTCCCAAGTAAGGAACCAGAGATAGAAATATGACAAGGTTTTAACAGTGCTATTTTTACATTGGCGTGTGCCGGAGTACCTAAAATCTTGTTTGATGGAATTAAAAAATTTATATCAAAATGACAAATTATAAAAAATATATATTATTATATATAATTTATTTAAAATTATATTATCTATATTATTTATTATATGATCTATTATATATATATATATATATATATATATATATATTATTTACATATATTTGTAATAGATATATATATATATATATATTTTTTATATTAAATTTTTTATTTTTTATTATTTTTTATAAATAAAAAATTATAACATAATATATTAATATAATAATATTATTTTATTTTTAAATTTTAATTTGTTTAATTTTAATTATATTTTTTATTTAAGGATTTAACTAACTCCTTTTTAATTTATTTAAATATAATAAATATAATAATTTATTATTTAATATTTTTTTGTTTAAATACATGTCTAAATATTATTAATTAAAATTTTTTATATACCGTACCTTCAAAATCTCTAAAGGTACCACTTTTTAAAAATTAATACTAACAAAGAAAGGTCAGATCAGTGGGACCCCTAGACACGAGTAAGCTGACTGGCAAGGTCGTCATTTAGCATTAGAGACTAAAATTATAAATAATTAATTTTATAAAAATTAAAAATATATTTATTCTGTAAAAAAAATATATAGAAAAAAAAAACAACATAAAATTTTTATCTCATAAACAATTCCTGCCGTCAATTTTATTAAAATTATTTCTTTTAACCAATTTTTCTAGTTTCCTTCTCTACGATAAAGGTTTCGTAGATTGATCAATCTAAATCATAAAAATTGAATTAAAAAACAAAAGGCTGAACTAACTGAAAAAATGAAAACACCAAAATATGTGGAAATTATTTTTTTATTATATTAGATCAATCTAATTTTAGAAATTGATTAAATCGATTTGAACTTATATGAATACAAAATATTTTATTTGTGAAATATTTAATTACTTTTTTATGATTTTCTTTTAAAGTTATATCATATTGTTATTTTTTAGGGATACATTTCATTATTTTAATGTGTTTACAAGTCTATTTGCTTTAGATTAATTTAAAGTTGTTCTTGTGTATCATATTTTTAAGACAAAATTAGTGATTTGGACCTCTAACATCATTTTTTATTTTAAATTTTTACCTTAATGTTTTTAAATTCAATTTGTAAATTTTATTTTCATCTCAAGTTGGTTCTTTTGATTACAACACCGTTAAAGTTTACTAGATATTGCATTTTTTAACTTGATTGCCTTGATTCATCTTTTTTTATTATTACTATTTGGCTTAAAAAAATACTTATGGGTCAAAGGTAGTATTGTAACAGTGAATAAAACACCTAAATAAATTGGACAATTATTGTTAAAATGTTGAGATTCTCCTATTGAAGTAGAATTTTTTTGAAAATTTAATATTTCATTTTAGTCAGTAAAATCATGCAAAAATTTGATTCGTTGGTTGCAGCTCAATGTCTAAAAAACCTCTCAGCCAATTTAATAATCATTAACAGAAAACATAGAACAAATTTAAGATTTAATAAAGTTGATTACTAGTATCCATGCCTTAGCTTCTCATGATTTTAACCAATAAAATAACACAACTTTTTGATATATTAGTCGTAATATAGTGTTTAGAGGAACCTTTTAATTAATTTCAACATCGAAAAAAATTCAGCTTTTATAGAGAGTTCTATCTAGAGTTAAAAAGTGTTGTAATGAAGAAATAAAAATACAAGTTAGAAGAATAAATAGAATCATAAATTAAAAAAAAAATTGCAAGACATATTTAAAGCTAAAAATAAAGTTAAAAGATTAAATTATTAGAATTAAGTGTGAACTAAGTTCTACGTAAAATAAGACATAAATTAGTTAGAAATTTGTAAAGAAATAAATTATACACTTATTTTACTGATTTTTTATTCCCCTCTCCGACACAAATAACTAATTTTACTGATTTTTCTTTTATAAATTTTATGTTTCATATAAAGAATAAGTTTTAATTAAAACTAGTGTAGAAGAGAAAATAAAATAATTTATTTATTGCCTTCTAACAAAATTTCAAATATAATTAAAAAAATATATAAAATTTCAATTCATTCAAAATCTCTTTCGATTGAATTTAAATTTTTTTTTTGTACCGAACCATAAAATGTTTTTATGATCAGATCATATAACTTTTTATTTAAAAATTGATTCAATTCAATGTGTAAACATCTCAATATCTTGAAAAGTATAGAAAAAAGGAGACAAATTGAAGTTATTACTCAATAGTTACGATGTAAAGTTATGACACCCATATTTAAATTATACTTAACTAAAATTATTAATTAATTTGATTAATATAAGATGAAAATGAGTGTAATCACATTTTTGTAAAATTATAAAAAATACAATTCTGAAAATTTATTTCAAAATATATATAGCATATAATACAAAAATAACTTTCAACCACAAGTAAATCTAAGTACTAATTACCAAAATAGTTACATAAATGTTCGAAATGAGTAGGGTGAAAAATCACCGAATTTAAAAGGATCTGAGCACGCGGCGTTGTTTAAATAAATAAATAAAATAAAATAAAATAGAGAAAAAATAAGTAGTGCTGTAGAAGAAGTAGATATTGATCATAGATTTTGTAGCACTTGGGAGACACTTTATCCGAACAGAGTACTACAGTGTTGGGAACTTGAACTCAACAGTCGACCTTTGGTGTGCGAAAGGTTCAATGGCGTCAACTCTCTTCACTGCTCCGTCGTTGTGTTCTTCTTCTTCTTCTTCTTCTATATTTTCCACACCCGTCAAATTCTCCTTAAACCCGAACAGCATTTCTCATCCGTTCCAGAGAAACAGAAACCCTCTTCCTCTTCCGACCCTTTCTCCTTCTGTCCCAATTCGAAGGCGCTTCAGTGTCATTGCCATGGCTCCCCCTAAACCCGGTGGGAAGGCCAAGAAAGGTAAGGGTTTGTATTGAGTTTACGCTCTCGTTATTCACTCTCACCTAAATTGTAACTCTTTCTGTTTTCTGTTTGGTGGTGCAGTGGTTGGGGTTATAAAGCTGGCTCTTGAAGCTGGGAAGGCTACACCTGCTCCTCCCGTTGGGCCTGCTCTTGGTTCTAAGGGTGTCAATATTATGGCTTTTTGTAAGGATTACAATGCCAGAACCGCCGATAAGCCCGGTTATGTCATTCCCGTGGAAATCACTGTCTACGACGTGCGTTCTTTGCTCTCTATTCTCTTCTTATTTTCCCCATCCTCAATGTCGTTTTACATGTTATTTCCTTCCGTAGGATAAAAGCTTTACTTTCGTACTGAAGACTCCACCTGCTTCTGTTCTTCTTCTTAAAGCCGCTGGTATGTTCTCTAGCATTCGTTGCCCACAATCCGTTTGATGTTATGTTTCGTCAGTGGTTTAATTTGTTATTGCCAATGCCAATTATTTGTTTATGGGGTGCCTCCTTCCAAGACAGAGAGGGAGGAATTATCTTCATTTCTTGATTGAACCCTTTATCATTGCTCAACTTGAGTAAGGATCATTGAATCTTGAATTCTGTCCCATGTATAATCTAAGTTGGCTACACGGTGAGTGATCCCATTTAGAATACTTACTTATGACCTGCTTGAGATTAAGTGATCCAGCACATTAGGAAATTAATGATTCACTGACCCATTCAGTTTCTTGCTCTAATGCCATTGATTGGAATATATTACCTGATTTGAGAAATTGATAGACAACACGTCCGTACTAATCTTTGAAACTGTGTAAAATAAAAGGGTCGAAAGCATGAATTGTTTTTAGCTTCCATTTACTTTGCATTTCAATTCTCAATGATTTTAAGCTGGATCTTAGCAAGTGAAAATCATAATAGTCAATCCCAGGTAGCGGCGTGGAGCGGCCAATCCCAAAAATTGCTATAGCTGATAACATGATGACTGCCATTCTGAAAATTTAAAATACACCTATAGATTATGCTACACATATGGAAAATGGGAGCACTTAGTATTCAAGAGTACTGAGTTTGAATGATACAATGGCATGCAGAAAATTAACAATGTAAAGGGGGAGCAAAATCCCAAAATTGCTCTCCTTAAAAGCCTTCTAATGTTAAGAAATCAAGAGCAAATTTGACATTTTCTGTGATTTTGGCCGCAATTCGCACCGTTGAGATCTGATATAAATTTTATATAGGGAGCCACTCCGCTATTAACTACTATGGGGAAAATACATGTACATTCTAGGATTAATAATCTCAGCAGTTGAGATCTGATATAAATTTTATAATGTCTTACATTAATCCAATAATATTGTGCAATGCATTATCCTACTCTAGAAACTAACGAGTACTTCTATGTGAGGGTTTTATTTACTGTTACACCCTTTGAGTTTTATGGACTAATCTCTTGTGATGTGTTGACTTGCCTTGGCCACAAGGTGCTTTTAATGAATGGAGAACTCTGCATTGCAGTTAAAATCTATCCGTATGGAACTAAGTTTTCCATTGTGTGAAATTTTATTTACAGCATGCTCATGGTTGTTTTAAGTTTAGATATTGATGTCCGCGATTGTAATAGCATTCCTAGCATAAGATGTGATTTACTTTGTTAACTGAAATTCAGTTTTTGAATGGATAGTCTAGCTTCGTCACACTCATAAATGGTCTAAAGTAAAAAAACACAACAGATATAAGGTTGTTGATTTGATAGACTATCAGGTGTTTAGTACTCTACACTAATGCATTCAGTGTTCCCAGGTTTGGAACCGTCTAATTATGTTGATATGCTATTTAGGTGTGGAAAAGGGTTCAAAAGACCCCAAGGCAAATAAAGTAGGGAAGATCACAATTGACCAATTGCGTGCAATTGCTGCGGAAAAGCTACAAGACTTGAATTGCTCGAGTATGGAATCAGCTATGAGAATTATAGCGGGCACTGCGGCAAATATGGGGATTGAGGTTGATCCTCCTGTTCTCGAACCCAAACAGAAGCAAACTGTATCTTGAAGTTCCATTTTGGCCGCGTAAGACGGTCCCCTGCGGTCTACGTTTTGCCAGTACAAAATCACGCCTGACTTATTTAATACATTTGTTTTGTCTTCTAAAACAAGGGAAACAGTTTCTAATTATTTGGTATTATTTGAATGATATTTAAATACATGGCCTTCAGTTTAGGATAGCATCATAAAGTTGACGCTTGATTGGTGAGAATTGTTACAATAGTGTTGTTAAATTGGGTAAATTCAATCAACCATTAATTACGATTTTATTTTTGTAGTTTGTCATCTGTTCAATTTTGATTTCTCAATTTCTAGCCACGCAGTTACGGTCTTCTAGTTAGACACTTGTTTGATTTTGGTCTTTTTAACTTCCATTTGTAAGATTTCGGTCTTCCTAGTTTGATTAATGTTCAATTTTTTGGTTTTCTTGACTTTTAATTACACGATTTTGATCCTTAATTTTTTTTTAATTTTGCATCTATTAACTTATTATCTAAATTTTAATAGAGTTATGAGCTGAATATTAATTATGCTAATGTGTCTTTGTTTATTTGGCTAAGCTTGCTGAAAATATTTTCCCTTCGTAATGTGCACTTATGTTGAGTTGATATGTTGCTTTCTAATTTTCACCCTCATATGCTCTCCATTTTTCAGTATTGCTTTCAGTCTCTTAAATGAATAACTCAATGAGATTTTTCTTTGGAATATGAACATATAAACACACCATAATTACATAGATATAACAACATAATTAATAACACAATGAACATGGAAACATCAATATAACTTATAATCGGCTTATCACTTAGCTAAAACTTAAATGACAAGTTAATAAATGCAAAGCTTAAAAAATAGGAAGGCTTAAACCGTAAAATAGTTGAGAAACCAAAATCCAGTCAATTATAAATTCGAGGGGCTTGAATCGTGTGATTAGAAAATAAAAACCAAACAAATGTTAAATATGAAAATCAAAATTGTACAATTAAAAATTAAGAGATATAACAAAATAATTACAAAACTCGAAGTACCAAGTTTATAATTAACCCTTCGATCAAACTTGAGTTAAATCTTTCGGAACATATTTTATTGGCTCTTCACAATTAATGTTTTAAAACTCCGACGGTTATAGATTATGGAGTAACACCAAAGGCAATTAGATGCGCACAACATAAGCTATGTAGCCTGTAAAGTCAAATTTAAACCTGTTTAAGAAAATAAATATGTTTAATCAAGTATTTAACGAATCAAACCCAACAATTCATCAATAACTAAACTCATTACGCTACTAATTATCATCATCAATAATACAGAGGAACCAGATCCATAACTAAACACAAATTAATGTATCAAAATAAAAAGATGTTTACTTTGACTCGAAGTTAGTATTGTTTTTTATAACTAAACAGAGCAATGGAAAGCAATCCGTTACATGTGTAAATATGTAACAAGTTGTCAAGTTATTAAGTTTCTCTCGCTCGCTTTAAGCTTCCTTCTGCTTGCTCCCTATCTTTTGCGAATGAATTAAAATAAAACTCAAGATTAAAATATAAATTGAGTAATAAAATCAGACAAGTTCATACAATTACAAGTTAATTTTGTCCATAAAATTAAAAAAAAAAAACTATATCATTTTAATCCCTAAATTATCAATAGAAATTAAAATGACTAACCTTTAATCATACTAATTTATAAATTGAAGTTAAAAGACGGATATCAATTAAACGGCCTAAACCCGCCCGCCTCAGGGCTTATTGGAACATAAATTCTGACAATAAAAATTAGAGGACAGAGCTGAAAATAACCGTGAGAATCTCACGAGGGATAAACTAATTGTATAACAAAATAAAATGCGTAATCGTCCTCTAAAAACAAGAAAGATAAAAAGATACACGGAAAACCCATAATCTCCAACGTTTATAAATTGTTTCTCAAAATGATGAGCAACTACAAGATTTACCGAGGTGGTTGTCCATTTCATTGTTGACCACTAAATAACGCTTTGCTAATTATGCCTGTGGCTTCCATATATCGATCTACGCACCTAGAAATGCAACTGCTTTCACTCCCACTGAGCCTTGAACCTGGTTTTGTGACACACCTTTCAAAACACTTTCCTCTCACTGTCTGCAAGAGAATGGCGATTTGAAGGTAAGTGGAATTGAAGCAGATAAAGCCACATCAACAAAATCAGGACTCAATTATCCACCCACTTTCTCAATATTTTCTTATTCTCCAGAGAGTGTTGAGCCACCCCAGAAGATCAAGAATATACAAGTGGCTGGAGTAAAACATTAAGCGGATAGTAAAATCAATTTCATCTTAGACTTCTCAAAATTTGATAGCATCAGTCGTCCAGTGCTTATAATCAATAATGATTCATGAACAAGAAACACATCAATGACCAAGTTTAATTCTATCATTGTATATTAATAATCATCAATCTCACATAAACCTATCGTAAGTAAATTTTTACAATATACATTAACAGTAGCAACAAGTAAACTATTATAATTTGATTAGCCAAAGGGAAAAAAAGGGAGCAATATATTATTCTAGTCCCTCATATTATAAGTATGTCCCATCTCCTGGGGACATTATGACCATTTGCTCGTTACAGAATACCTAGTCAGTGTCTTCTTTATTAAGGTTGAAGAATTTATCTGAACTGAAGTGTTAACATGAACCAAACTGACCTGAGCAAACCTATAATTTGATTTGGTTTAAAGTGGTACTATTACCTACTTGCTAATAGAAACTAATATTAATTCAAGAAAAATAGGATAGAACTTTAGGAATAAATCCCCTCAGGGAGCAAACAGAAACAGATACTAGAACAGAAAAAATGAAAATAAAATAGAGCTGACACAGAGACTCTGCCTTCCATGGCTTAAACATTTACACTCACACCACTTTCTTTGAGAAGAAGTGTATGGACTCAACTAATACAAAACAAGTGCATTGCATCCTAATCAGCAATAGTTAAAGAGGGAAAGCATATACCTCAAGAAATTGTTGAGCATACTCCAAGGCAAGTTGACTCTTCAATTGGTTTTTGAGATCCTGCGCAGATAAATGGTTCGATGACCCACTCGAGGAATTTGAGAAAGAATCCATTGTTTCGCCACTCTAAACTCCTCTTCTCTGTAATTTAGAATCGTACTCCGTGTATCCTAAAACCCTAGCAATGCAATGCAATGCCTTTTTTTGCTTGCGGCTATCCTAAAACCTTAATTATGTTGGGCCTGGACTAGTGACAACGGTCCAGCCCATTCCCCATCCCAGGTTTAGTTTTACGTCTCAAAATTAGGGTTCTGATTTTTACCAAAAAATTATTCGGTTATTTGACAATTATTATAAATTTAGCTTCTAAATTTTATAATCATCGATTAAATTCGTTTCATACATTAGAGACCAAACGAATAACATACCAAAAATTCAAGAATTAAATTTATTAATTTACAAAAATTATATTGAAATAGTTTATAATTGTCAAAGTTTGAAATGAAATTAATAGATCTTTTATGGAGAAAATATTCAACTTAATGCGTGTTTGAAACTGCATCTCTTCGGTAAAATTTGTGTGTTTAATATTTTCTATGTAGTACAGCTTTTGCATTAATATAAAATAAATACTTACAGCATGATTGATTTACTTTTTAAAAATAATTTATAGTTTTTAAAAATAAATTGCAGTACAAATTATTTTGTAGATTAATTTTTTTTATCATGTTAGTTTTTAAAATTGTATCACCAAATTAATTTCTTTACATCGATTAAGAATAACATAGTGACATTCTAGATCATTGAGAACATAGTCATGCGTATTAGTATTGGTGTGAAAATAAAACAACTTATCAAACTTAGTGAAATACTTATTTTTTCAATGAGTAAAGATTGATTCTTAAAAAAAGGTGTGCAATGACTAATTAAAATTTTAGCCTATACATAAAATTTTAGTATGAAAGAATCTCTATCTTTTATAATTAGTCCTTGCACACTTTTTCTACTAATATTGGAAACTATCATTATTAAAAATCATCATCATCAAAACCCATCGTATCACTTGTGAAATTAATTCATCTTAAAATTTATAAAACTTTTAATCTATTAATCCTTCTTCTCTTCCATTATTTCTTAACACTACCATTGTTAGAAATTACATTATTAAAAATTTAAAAATCACGATTGTCCTTTATTTCCCTCTAACCAAGCCTAATGTCAAGAAACTCTTTTATGACCACAATCTTGTTTTGTTTTCTATGGCTTGCTAGTCTTTTTTTCTAAGATTTTCTCTTTTCACTTTATTCGAGGCAACCGTAACAAATTAAAATCTTCCAACAGTGACAACGAGGTGTAAAGGTTAGAGACATAATAATAAAGAACAGAAAAAGAGAGTGTTTTGATAAGGAGAGAGTTAAGATTAAAAAAAAATGAAAATGATAAATAAATTCTAAAAGATAAAATTTTTTACAATATTAAAAAGTTTATTAGTGTTAAATTGGTCAAATGAAGAAGAAAACAAAAGTGAACAATATTAGTAATCTAACTGATAACGTTAAAAAAAAAGGAAAAAAAATAGGTAGACAAAAATTTTAAAAAACTCTATGATCAAAATGTCTAACACTAATAACATTAAGTATTACAATAAAATAAAAAATATATAATACATTATGTACAACGTTATTTTTACCATTCATAATAATCATTTCACTTAACACATTTCATTGTATATCAATACTGCGTAGTTTAAAAGAATAAAGTGATTCTCAAAGAGAAAAATAAAAAATTTAAAATCTCAAAAAAAGTAAAATTTTGAGGGTAGAAATTAAATTTAATTGAGTTTAGTGGCACTTAACTAGTGCATTATCTAACGATCAATTCGCCATCATTATGTAATGCCTGATAGTAACGCGCAAACATAATGGCATTAATTTGTTGTCAACTCAACATGCAATGCGTAGATAAGTACGTGAACTCTCTAAGTACAGTTAATTCAACATCACACTCGCAAAATCAATCTTTGCACCGGAAACTATATCTTTACCCTCATGTCCCTACGTGATGCTCATTCTTAAAAATTAGTGTTGATGCATCTAATTTGGGGACATAAACATTCATTGAGAATTACAAATTCATCGCTTAATCTTATGTTAACACAAATATTTCATGCATTAATAATTTTTTATAATGATTTTAGAATTCATAATTATCACGGTTAAGAAGGGCTAGAAATACTAATCTTCATTCACTTTTTTAAATTTAAATTGATATCTTGAAATTTTGAGAAACTTATAATGAATTTGAAATATTTTTTTTCTTATCCTTTATTCTTTAATTATTAATAAAAGATCACGAGATAAATCTTTATAAATAAAAATCGGGAAAAGACTTCATTCTCTTCTACTTTATATATTACTTGCATCTACCAATTTAAAAAAAAAATCATTCTCAAAATTTACATCTCTTTATTCAAATACTAAATTATATATCTTTTATTTATTTATCACACTTGAATGAAACATTTTCTGCACGAAATCTTTGTTAAATAAGCACACAATTTTGTTCTTCAACTTTTAACAAATTTATTAAATTTTATTATTTATTTGTATATCTTTGCAAAGTTATTATTTTAAAATTCTGATCAATAACGCATTATAAGTTTAGATTATGCAAACTAATGCGACTGCACAAATAAGAAATACGATGAGAGATTTTTTGCTCTTTCTGTCCACGATCGAGAAGATGTTTTATTGTTTGTATATGTAGTTGACAAGTTCAACAACTCCGTGGGAATAAAAATTTGAGCTACGCACTTTTAAATATAGTAAATATTGACTAGCGTCTCTGCCTACCTTGCTAATGATAATAATAAATAAATATTATATACATATATATAAGAAAAAAAAATTTATATGTAAGTTTAAAAACTCTTACATGAGTCTTTTATTAAATTTACATTTAATTGTTAGTAAATTAAAAATTTAAATTAAATATAAAAATTTTTAGACTTATACAAATAAAAAAAATTTATATATATATATATATATATATATAAGATTAAATGTTAAATTGAAATATTTTATATTATTTCTCTAATCATGTAAATTAAATTTTATAATATATTATTTAAAATTTAATATTTACTTATATTTTAAAATTATATATTAATCATTAAAATAAAGTAATATTACAAAATATTTAATAATTTTATTTTTTATAAAACATTATAAGGTTGATACACTTAATTATAATTATCAAACTAATAGTTAAATTAGTTAATCTTATTTTTTTACAAAAAATAAGTATTAAATAGTATAAATATTTAAATTTAAACTTTTTATATTATTAATACATTTTTATTATATTTTGTAATGAAATTTTTATTTATTAATAATTAACGTAATGCTAAGTATTATTTAAAGCAAAAGAAGCAACTTTTATAATATAAAAAGGGAGGTAGTTGTCCTTAGACCTCGGCGGATGAATTCTGGAGCGCGTTTCATCTGTAGCTTCAAAGAAAAAAGGGACGCAAATACTACGTTTAGTTTGAATGTCTGAAAAGGTAACTTGGGCTACCCTTTTGCTCATCCATGCTTTGTCTTTTAGCTTAGCTTTTTCTTGTTGGTTTCTTGGTTCATATTCTAAGTGTTTGTTCCTCAACGAATGAAAACATGCATGGACTCATTCAAAGTCCCAGCCTCAGATTGCACGGAAATTCTCCCTTGGGTACGTACCATATGATAACCCCAGCCTCTTAATATATATATATATATAGTTCTTAAGGTTCAGAGAGAAACCAATAATCATTGCGTTTTTCTTTTCTCTCTTGTGTTGATCATATTTTATATTTTCATGATGAGTTTTAGAGCCTGCAAGCTTTGTTCTTCTTCCCTTTTGGCAACTTCAAAACTGCTCCTCACATCTTCTGCTTTGCCCAACCTTCAAGCTAGAGCTCTTCTTGGCTCTATCTTTCCTCAAGCTCAAGGTAATTCTTATTTCTTAGCCATTCTTCAACATGGTTGTTGATGATTAGTCGTTAAGTTATCAACCATTAGTTAATTTATATTTTGATATTAGTTAATAACTAAGGATTAAATTGTTTGACACCCTCTTAGGCCTGAAGAAGAGCCTTATTTTGCCGAGACAATACATGTCAGCGTCCTTAGCTTCTTTGGTGAAGGAAGAGGAAGTGCGAGGTAAAGACAACGAAATACTCGGAGCAGTTGAAGACCAACATGGAGGAGTTATTGTAACCATGGATGGGCCTATGGATTCCTTGGTCTTTGCTTCTTTGTTAGATGCTTCAATATCACAATGGAGACAGCAGGTAGAAATTTCAAAGTAATATAATAATATGGGTCTTTGCTTCTTTTTCTTTTGATAGTCCATTAAAATATTTTCTTAATTATTAAGAGCACCTTTACTTGTTGATCTTGAGAATGGTTCTTAAATCTAAAATTAGTTTCTTACAATAATCTTCGGTAATTACCGGCAAGAATGCTCCACACTACTTGGTCAGTAACTAAGAAAAACTGCACTATTCCCAAAAATAATGCTATAATATTTTTAATAAAACCCCCAGAAAATAATTCAAAAACTCAAGTAAATTTAAGAACCTATTTGAGTTCCACCACTAAAGATGCTTTAACATTGGTTTAATAATATTGTTGATAACTCTAATTAATGTTCAATAATTGGACTCACCACTGCAATTGTGAAAAATATGCATGGCATTTTAGGGAAAGAAGGGAGTGTGGATCAAGCTGGCCAGAGAGCATTCAAATCTTGTGGACCCTGCGGTTAAGGTAACTAGAAAAAACATGGTTTAATTTTCTGCTACATAGCTTAAAAGTTAGTCTTAGAAGCCATTTTGTGATCATGATTTCGCAGGCTGGATTCAAATTCCACCATGCTGAACCAGATTACTTGATGCTCGTCCATTGGATTCCCAATACTCCTGATACCCTTCCTGCAAATGCTTCGCATCGCGTTGCTATTGGTGCTTTCGTCATGAACAACAATAAAGAGGTAATCCATTCTTTTTATACGTTTTCCATTGTTTGAGTGGTTCAAACTTTCAAGATTTTTCCTTTTAACCATCTCTTTAGCCCTCATAAACCCAAGCACCGAGGAACTGGTTATGAAGTTTAAGCTCTGCTTCCGAGAAAATAGAATGGGAAAACAATTCCATAAGGTTGACTTTACTTTTGTAGGTGCTGAAACTTTAACAAGATAAGCTTTTGGACTACATGCCAATAATATTATGGTACAGCTTTTTGGAAAATTTACAGTTATTTTTAAAAATTCATTTCATATATGATATTGCATATAATATATTTATTTTTAATATTTGTATATAAACTATTTTAAAAATGGATTTTAAAATTTTTAAAAAATATTTTTATTGTCTTGTTTTAACATTTAAAGATCATTTTCAATAAAAGACTACCAGGAAGTACTAAACATTACTATTACTGAGTCACTTAAGTATGGTGAAAGCAACAAAGTGATTGGTCATGCTCTCTTAAGGTAAAAAATCGTATGAAAATGTTTGGTTAAGTGTATACAATATATAATTTTCTCTAACAGCTTTCACCAGAACATGATAAGTAATAGTAAAAAATATTTATTTAACAACTTTCTAACCTTTTTGGGTAGACTGAGCCACATTTCCAAGATGACTTGTATATTGTAATTGTCTTCTAATTGTTCAAATTGTTTTGTTTGCTCACCAACCTTGAGTCAATCTCTGCCTTGATTTTTTTTGGGTCATTCTACTCTTGTCTGTGTTGAAGTCTTGCATTTTCTACGGTGAGTCATGTCCACCTATAGGAAATGTATAAGATAGTCTTGCATTTTGAAAATGAATATTATATATCATATTCAATATTTTCTACTCACTTTTTGTCTTTATCTATCTGTCTATAAAAAAGTATATTGAAATTATCCTTCAACGTTATTAAAATAAACATTGAATGGTCAAACATTTGGTTTATTTCTTATATATGAAATTTAAAAATTATATATATCAAAATGTTGTGTTTCTAAAAAAGCTACGCGATTTTTTAGTATATGTATCGATAGAACAACAAAAATTATGAAATTTCAAAATTTGTCAATGAATTTTTAAAAAAAATTGTAAAAATTCAAATGGAATTTTTTTAAAAATAATAAAAAAAATTCTTAAAATACTATAGTTTGATAACTTTTTTTTTTTATTTTTTCCATATACAATAAAGAGCCCCAACATTTACAGCAGTAGTATTATATAAATATTCCTTAATATATTAATAGTGAAAATTTTGTTTGTATTGCATTTGACAGGTGCTTGTGGTTCAGGAAAGTAACGGAAGATTCAGTGGCACAGGAGTATGGAAGTTGCCCACTGGAGCTGTTAATGAAGTATATATGTTAAATTGGTCATTGATTGTTAGTTAATTTTTATTAATTTCTTTTTATTAATTTGAATTCCATTTTCAGGGTGAGGATATTTGTACTGCAGCAGTAAGAGAAGTGAAAGAAGAAACAGGGGTAAGCAAAAACTGCATATAGTTTAACCATTGATGATTTTTTCAAACCCTTTTAAAAGTGCTTTTTTTTTCTTCTTTCAGATAGACACACAGTTTGTGGAGGTGTTAGCATTCAAGTAAGACATAATTTCATGTAGTATTTTACTATAATTTATATGCTATGTTCACTAAATCTCATGATCTTTCTTTCTGGTATCAGGGAAAGACATAAATCTTTCTTCCAGAAATCTGAGTTGTTCTTTGTATGCATGTTGCAACCTCGTTCCTCTAAAATTCAGAGGCAGGTTTCAGAAATTGAGGCAGCTCAGGTACATATAAGTTTCAGAAATAAGGTTAAGATAATCTTAAGACAAAAACATGTTTTTAATCTCTTTGATTTAGTTTGAATCTGAGTGACAAAACATGTCATGTTACAAATCAGATCAAAATATTTTATATCAATTAAGTAGTAACATAATTAAATACATATTATAATCACAATTAGGCAAGAAAACACATTATTCTAAGATTGTTTTTAAATTGCTAACAGAAGCACCAGAAAAATTGCTACTTCAGTCCTAATGTTATTTTAATTTCATTTCAGTGGATGCCAGTTGAGGATTACGTAGCCCAACCATTTGTTCGAGAAAATAAGCTATTTCACTTTCTCACCAAAATAAGCTTATCAAAGTTTCATGGCAACTACGATGGCTTTTCCACCCTACTCACTACCACTTCCTCATGCAAGAAATCCTACCTTTACTTCAACAACAAGGAGGCTGGACACATGTTAGCTTCCAAACTTTGACAAGCTTCACTTCTTAGCCTCCACCATTTAATTTAATCTTTAATTAATTGTCCTTAATTAGCATTGTACATAAACAATATATACTTTAATTACTTCCACAGGGACCTGAAAATTCATATTATTTCCCCTCCAAAACCGCGTGAGGGTTGGATGAATGTTGTCAATTTACAATTTGTTCATTTCATTAAGTGCGTTTTCAATAAGTCAAAAGTCAGGTGTCAACTTTAGTTGTCAAATTTCATTTTGTAATAAATTGCTGTGTAATAGCCTGCATGTTTAATATATTCAGATTCAATGCTCTGCAGTTTCAGTGCTTTAGAAAAGATTTACTGAGTGAAAAAGTCAAGAATGGATTAGTTTTATGTACATATAAAATTGATACCAACAAGTTAGGAGTTTATAAAAATAAACTCATATACTTATTATTTTAAAAGTTTTGAGTTGCATTGTGATTTTACTTATTTAAGAGTTTATAAAAAAATAAACTCATATATTCGTTATTTTAAAAATTTTGAGTTACATTGTGATTTTACTTAGTGTAATATTTTTTATTTAAAAATTTTCTTATTTAACGAAATACTAAAATGTTAAATATGATAATTAAGCACATCTTCACTTTTTTAAGCAAAGATTTAATTTTTTTTTTAAAATTATGATTCAGAATTTAAATATATTGTGATAATTAGTTTTATGTTTTGGCTGAAACTCATTCTAATGTTATGGTAATACTTGTAATATTCTCAGTTTTAAGCACATATTTGATATTACTTTTTAAAATAAATAAAATTTAAGCATGAATTAATATTTAATTTGTTTGTGGCTTTTAGGAGTAGAATCGGATTTAAGAATTATTATGGGTTGAAAATAGAAACTTGGAACCATATTTTGCCCATTTCATACGCTAAGAAAAAATGTTAGACATAAATTAACTTGTGTTGGGTACTCAACACAAGATTTGACCTAAATATATTAATAATATATTTTTATGCTTCACTTTTTAAACTATGTACACTGATCACTCAATAATTGCAACCTTGGCAAAAACAACTCCCTCACTCTCTCTTGGTATTAGTGACACCCGTCACCTCCTCCCTTTTCCTCTCATCTCTTTTCTATTCTCTTTATCATTTTTAATTATCTAATTAATTGATTAATAATAAAAATATTTAATTAATTAATAAATAAAATTAGTGATATTTAATTTTAATATTATATTAATATAATATTATATCTTTTATTATTTAACACATTTCAAATAGTTGTAAATTAATTTTAGCAAATCAATAACACTAATTCAATTACATAACTACACACAGCTACTTCCTTTTAGCTACCTTCACAACTACCGGTTATAAGCTTGAAACTTTGAACTAGTAGAATCAAATCGAGCCTAGATTTGGTTAACATCCATAAAATCATTATAGATTTTTTATTGTTTAAACATTTAAAACAAATTTCAATCAATCGTATTTTGTCATCTGATTGGATTAAGATTTGGTCAAATATTCAAAGATTAATTATAAAGAAATTAATTGTTCAAACTTGTTAGATTAGCCTTATTTTTACCTTGAGCTTAAATGTAATTAAAAACTTAAATTATCTTCTACTTTATATATAGATTAATTTAGATAAAGAAAAGTATTATTTTATCATAGTATTATTTTTGTCCATACTAATCCTCTCATTACCTTTTTAACATATCTTGAAATATGCTTATGACTTTCAGCAAGCTAAGTTATGTTCACTCCTTTCCAAAATGTAGTCAAGATCCCTTTGTTTGCCTCTTCCATTTTCTTGCTCTGCATGACTCTTTGTTTTTAAGGGAATGAAAGAAGATTATACCGACCACCAAGAATTTTTACACTACTAGGAGAAGAAATTGCAGAATTTGGAAGAGGCATAGTAGAATTTGCAAACTGCTCATGTTGCTTTACAACAACATTATTATCATCATTTTCATATGTGGTTTCTACTTTCTGATACTTGGACAATCTTCTTTAGTTTTAAAGTAATTGCACTTACATTTTTTAAATTGTCAACAATTTGTGCAGGTAACTTATCAAAGCCTTGAGACTACATTTGATTTAAGAAGCTAGCTAATTGCCTATCCTATTTCTGCAATGTCTTAATGTTGGCTTCAATTCTTTGTTGAAAGTTCAAATTATTAAAATTTATTTTTCTTATCAATTTATTTAAATTAGTTTGCTCAGAACTGGAAAGCACATCAACAAATTGTGCATATTGTTGCTGCACATGTGGAGGTTGATATGGTTCAAACATTTTTCTAGAATGAAAGATGCTATTGTTGTTATGATGTATTGCCCAATCCAAGGTCCTCTCAACTCTTACTTGACCCTTTATGACCACTGAGTTAACATAGAGGTTATTCACAACAATTATAGTCAAAATAATAAAGGTCTAATTAAAGTAATTAGAACTCTGTTCTTCTACTCCTATACTAAAGGTCAAGATTTGTGTAGGGGTAATAGGTGCATCTCCACTCATTCTGCATCCATATACATATAGTGGACACAACATAAAAAAAGGAATAAGTACAAACATTCATAAACAATATTACAAGGCAATACTTATACTTAAATGAATAAAACTCATCCAAACAATCATCAACAAACCAATCAATCATTTCAATGTTTTTTGTTTATGAATTTCCTATGAAGTAATTAATTAGTTAATTAATTATCCAACATTATCAAATTTGGGTTGAGATTAAAAGTTCTATGTCTACAATTTGGTTAGTGTAATAGATACATCTTCTCCCTTTTCCAGAGACAGAACATAAGTGTGTATTTTTCATTTTATAGTCATTACTAGCAGCTTACAGTCAAACCAATCATGGTGTGCTCTAGTGCTTATCAGGATAGATTAGCAAAACTCTCATTGACTACAACACAAGTTAGTCATGTTTGGCCCCTTGTAGTTCTTGGGCACTCTCCTAAATCCTGTGGTCACACCAACACTATTTGCTCTTCACATGTATCATGGCATTTTCAACCTCTTTCATATTCACAATCATAAACACAAACAACATTATGACTATTATTTTGTCCAACATATACAATATCACATCTTTACATTAAGAGAACAATCAATCTCATAGACATGGTCAAAATCATAATTTTTCAGATTTTATTCACCAACTTGTAAAATTCATAACTAAATCATTACAAGTCTAAAAGTATGAAATCGTGGAGGTTTTATTTCTTTAAATGTCTAATTTCATATAAAAATACAAAAAAAAAATTCACACACTTCCAAAGAGCTAAACAAAACTCATTTTATCTCTACTGTACACATATTATCTTTTTCAAAACCTAACATATTAGAAAATTTACAACAAAATTATTTCAACTTCAAAATTCATGAAACTAGTCAGGTTATTCTTCTCAATATGTCTATTTTCATGTAAAAATACTTTCATAATTCATACACTTACATATATCATTTCAAGTTCTAGTTTATATCTATATGTCACAAATTATCACATTTGAGCAATAGAATATTGGAAAAATCATGTCATGCAATACAACACCAAAAATCCTCAAAATTAGTGGAATTCTTTCCTTTTAAACATCTAATTTCATAATAAAATATCACAAAATTTATCACTCACAGATTTCAAAACAAAGCACAATTCCTCTTTGTTGGTCACAGAGGTTTATTTTCATGTATTAGTCTAGTGGAAAAACCATAACTATTTTATTTCAAGTCCAAAAATCATTAAATCAATAGGAATATTTTTCTTAAAATGTTCATTTTTATACAAAAATATAAATAAAATAACGACACTTATGGATTCTAAAATGAAGATAATTTTGCTCATGTTATTTCTAGAAAATTATTTTCATACAACAAAATATTGGAAAATCATAAATAATTCATTTCAAATCCAAATTGAGTAAAACTAGTGAAAAATTTCTCATAATTCAGTTCTTCTCTATGTAAATAAAATATCTATAATTTTTTTTTTGCAAAGAAATCTCTATTTTGTTTAAATATTACAATTTAGTCTTCAAACTTTACCTTATTTTTAAAAGGATCCTTTTTGACAAATTTTAGGTTGTCTAGCATGTTTCTAATGAGTTTATAATATTAGTTCATATCTCCACAAGGTCTAAATCATTCTTTTAGTCCTATCACTAATGTGGTCAAGTATCTTACACTTCTATGACATATTTTGGGTCCAAAAAGATCATGGCACCTCATCATTTCAAAATTCAATCTTTCAAATTTTCATATGATGCAAGATTCTATTCATGTCCAAAGTTTCAAAGGTCCTTTTCATAGTCATTTTTCATTTTTAATTTATTTTCTTTTAAAGTTTCTTATTAAAAACTTCAAAAATACCTTATAAATTCAAAGTAATTCTAACCAAAGAGAAAATCATATATCTTATTTAGATACATTGAAATCAAGTCAGACAATACAAATCAAAGATAAAAAAAATTTAGTATATATGTTTAAAAAAAACTTTTACAAAAAATAACATTTATTTTAAGATAAAAAACATCCAAGTTCGCAGAAAATCTCCAAAAACTCATTTAACCAATTCTAAAGTATAGATCCACATGAAAAAAATACAAAACAAGTAAAGTTATCAACACATCCTCATAAAAACATCTCTTTTAAGGTTCATTTTTATTTTTCTTTAAATTTTGTTGTTTTAGTGATTTTCTTGAATTTTTTTTACTTCAATCAAAACCATTTTCATGGATCTACCAAATCCACATAATTATTATCATACAAAAAGGTTTAAGGGTTCCCTTTGACTCAAAAATCATTTTAGCAAAGTATCCCTTTTGATTTATGAATAATACTTTACTTGGTTTTTGGGTTGATCTTTCTGAAATCTTTTTTCTCTCTTACTCTTGCTAAGATTATGTAGAATACATCGGTGAGGTAAGAAAAGTCACTCTATGTGCATATTTGTCTAGAATTTAAGAGAAAGTTAATGTCATGACCAATTTTTTAGAACAGGTTCTGTAGAATTTTAACTTGAGCAATTCTTTTAGTTTTGGGCCAAAAGTGGAGAAATTGATGTCTAAATCCAATTTCATAAAAAAGAGTTTGAAAGCTAACATCCTAATGAAAATATGTTCAAAAT